TTAACCAGAGGTACCACTGTATAGGAGTCTCCCAAGCTGGTTGTAATGAGCAGTTTAATATCCTGGGCAAGGCCACCCTGTTGGGAGGACTTCCAGGCCTCCATGACAACCAGATTGATAAAGCCACCACAGCCAGCCCCCCATGAAGAAACCAGAGATTGCGTTGTGTATTATTTTATATACGTTCATAGACACTGAAGAGCAGCCGTACATAGCGGAATACTCAATTTTATTCAGAATAGCATAACCACAGTCCTATGCAAAGTTTCCTGGAAGTACCCAGTACAGTGGTACCTTGGGCTACAGATGCTTCAGGTTACAGACGCTTCAGATTACAGACTCCGCTAACCCAGAAATAGTACCTCGGGTTAAGAACTTTGCTTCAAAATGAGAACACGGTAGCGGGAGGCTCCATTAGCTAAAGTGGTGCTTCAGGTTAAGAACAGTTTTCAGCTTAAGAACACACCTCCGGAACGAATTACGGTAAGTTCTTAACCCGAGGTACCACTATAGTTTCAACACATTGCCTAGGTGTACATCTCAAGGCAAAGTCGCTCGGGGACAGTTTGGGTGACAAAAGTGGCTAGGAAAAGTGCGTATAGTTAAAGCTCTGGTTTTCCCAGTAGTGATGCATGGAAGTGAGAGCTGGGCCATAAAGAAGGCTGATCGCCGGAGAATGGATGCTTTTGAATTCTGGTGCTGGAGGAGACTCTTGAGAGTCCCATGGACTGCAAGAAGATCAAACCTCTCCAGGAAACCAGCCCTGAGTGCTCACTGGAAGGACAGATCCTGAAGCTGAGGCTCCAAGATTTTGGCCACCTCATGAGAAGAGAAGACTCCCTGGAAAAGACCCTGATGCTGGGAAAGATGGAGGGCACAAGGAGAAGGGGACGACGGAGGACGAGATGGTGGGACAGTGTTCTCGAACCTACCAGCATGAGCTTGACCAAACTGTGGGAGGCAGTGGAAGACAGGAGTGCCTGGCGTGCTCTGGTCCAGGGGGTCACAAAGAGTCGGACACGACTAAATGACTAAACAACAACAACGGCGTATAAATGACGTAACGCAGGCGGGAAAGGCGGCGTGCCTCTGAGCACGTGCAGAGTGCCCCTCAAGGAAACAAGGGAAGCCCCCAAGACGCGTCGCTTGGTTTCTGAAGTCGCCCCCGAAGGAGGGGGGTGGTGGTTGCCTTGGTAACCGCGACCAGGTCCCTCCCAACCCACCCCCTGTCAATCACCCCCCCCTCTGCGGGTCAGCACCTGTCGATGCCCTTCAGCAGCTTCCCCACGTTCGCCCGCATCTGCTCGAAGAGCGCCATGGCACGCGGAACCGGGAACGGAGAAGGAGGTGGCGGAAGAGGAAGGGAAAGGACCGCGGCCTCAGCACCGGAAACGGAAGGAGCAGGAACAGAAGGCACTTCCGGCCGGGCAGCCTCCGACTTCCGCTTCCGCCGAGGCGCGCCACAGGCTAGAGGTGCGGGACGCGCATGCGTCGCGGAGAAAAGGGCCGAGGAGAGGCGGGCGACGTTTCTGGCTCCGCCCACTTCGGGGTTGAGCTTGGGCTCCTCCCCCTCCCTTCGAAGATTCTATGCAGCTCTTTTGCGCGAGGACTAGAAACTTGTGCTTGGTTTTTGAAATCGGAACTTCTCTGGGGCGCAGATTTAAACTGCGCCGGACTTACATTGCACCAAGCAGAGATCCTGCTGACTGGGACCAGCGCCTGAGCGACAATACGATACAATACTATAATCTTTATTGTCATTGTCCCATACAGAACAACGAAATTGAAAAAAATCTACACCAGACATTCAGACACCAACAAGCCTGCTATCCCAGCCTGGTTAGCCCCTAAAAACTCTTGATAAAGGTAAAGGTTAAGGGACCCCTGACCATTAGGTCCAGTCGTGACCGACTCTGGAGTTGCGGCATTCATCTCGCTTTTTTGGCCGAGGGAGCCGGCGTACAGCTTCCGGGTCATGTGGCCAGCATGACTAAGCCGCTTCTGGCGAACCAGAGCAGCGCACGGAAACGCCGTTTACCTTCCCGCTGGAGCGGTACCTACTTATCTACTTGCACTTGATGTGCTTTCGAATTGCTAGGTTGGCAGGAGCAGGGACTGAGCAACGGGAGCTCACCCCGTCGTGGGGATTCGAACCGCCGACCTTCTGATCGGCAAGTCCTAGGCTCTGTGGTTTAACCCACAGTGCCACCCGCGCCCCCCAAAAGAAACCTCTTGATACCCCATAATTAAATGCAACATACTCACATAGAGACTACCTTACTGCAGTTCAAATGGCGGTGCATGACTCCTCCTAATCTCCTTTAGGATGCAGCTGGACCATTTTTAGCTCCGCCCCCTGTAACTTTTTGTATGCGATAAGGATCCCGCGATTTACCAGGATCAGCCGGGGATCTACTGGTTGGACACCCCTGCAATAGGATATACCAGTTTGCTGAGGTATGGTTTCTTCAGGGAGGGAACCTTAACACCTGGTTCACTTTGCGCTATCTCCAGTGGAAAGGTTCAAGGAGTGGGGGAAGGGAAAAACAGGTTTCTGGCTGAGACCCTGAAGAGCCGGTGTCAGGCAGACGAGGCATATAGTCTGACCCGGTGGTAACAGGGAAAGGGAGCGTAGTGGCAAAATCAGAAGTGAAGTGATAAGTCACAGCCATGCCCCCTTCTAAAATTGCACAATTACACAATGCTTTGTAATTGTGGATGTATTGCAGCAATCGGTGCAAATCTCCAGCTGTTGCCTTTCTGCTAGATCTACTATGTTCTGTGCAAATACATAAGCCAATGATTCAGAGTGCTCCAATATCATTTTTTGGAGTGGTTCTCCCCCCACTTTTTGTTGTTAAAAAGTGTGGCACTTACTGTAACAATTTCATGGTGAGTACCGGAACCTACTGTATTTTTTTGCTCTATAAGACTCACTTTTTCCCTCCTAAAAAGTAAGGGGAAATGTGTGTGCGTCTTATGGAGCGAATGCAGGCTGTGCAGCTATCCCAGAAGCCAGAACAGCAAGAGGGATTGCTGCTTTCGCTGCGCAGCGATCCCTCTTGCTGTTCTGGCTTCTGAGATTCAGTTTTTTTTTTCTTGTTTTCCTCCTCCAAAAACTAGGTGCGTCTTGTGATCTGGTGCATTTTATAGAGTGAAAAATACGGTATTTTGCAGGGGCAACGAGCATTGTTTTGCAGTGACTCAAGCTGTGCTTTCCTTGAAGTTCTATCGTACTTAACAGAACTTGCACACCCTTTTATTGAAACAGACGCACCTTGCGTTTTCAGTATACCTGAATGCTTTGTTTTTGAGCATGCAATGGGCAGAAAGCTCCCCTTCAACGCTGGTCAGGCGGCTCTAAGATGCTGGAGACAGACCCAGCTGCAGAAATAGTAAGGGGTCTTCGACTTCCAGTGACCCCGGACTATACCATTGACGAAGGAGCTTCTTTTGACCTTTGCACTCCTGCAGGCATCATAAGCACATAGTTAAACAATGGAACTCACTTCCGCAATAAGCTTTTGGCCGCCTACTTGGACAGTTTAAAAGGAAGATTCGACAAATTCGTGGACAGCTCTCCATGGCTATGAGCTGTCCATGGAGGCGCAGGTCAATTCTGTGTCCAGGGCAGCTGTCTACCAGCTCCATCTGGTACGCAGGCTGAGACCCTCCCTGCCCACAGACTGTCTCGCCAGAGTGGTGCATGCTCTGGTTATCTCCCGCTTAGACTCCTGCAACGTGCATCTACGTGGGGCTACCTTTGAATGTGGCAGCTAGACTGGTGACTGGGAGCGGCCACCGAGACCGTATAACACTGGTCCTGAAAGACCTACATTGGCTCCCAGTACATTTCCGAGCACAATTCAAAGTGTTGGTGCTGACCTTTAAAGCCCTCAACGCCCTCGGCCCTGTATATATGAAGAAGCATCTCCACCCCCATCGTTTTGCCCGGACACTGAGGTCCAGCGCCGAGGGCCTTCTGGCGGTTCCCTCACTGCGAGAAGCAAAGTTACAGGGAACCAGGCAGAGGGCCTTCTCAGTAGTGGCGCCCTGCCCTGTGGAACGCCCTCCCACCAGATGTCAAGGAAATAAGCAACTACCAGACTTTTAGAAGACATCTGAAGGCAGCCCTGTTTAGGGAAGTTTTTAATGTTTAATGCTGTATTGTGCTTTTAATATTCTGTTGTGAGCCACCCAGAGTGCCTGGGGAAACCCAGCCAGATGAGTGGGGTATAAATAAATGATGATGATGATGATGAAGGCTCAAAGGTGGGTGGCAGCATATTTTTGAATTCAAGTGGCTGGAGAGTGCTGTTGTTCTTTGGGTCTTGCTTGCGGGTTTTCCCCTGCTGCATTGAGAACGGATGCTGGACTAGACGGGCCAATGGCAGTCTCATCTTGCAAGTCTCTAGCACAGGGGTGGGCAAGTTTTTTTTTAAGTCCAGGGCCACATTCCTTTCTGGGTAGCCATCTGAGGGCCACATGTCAGTGGTGGATGTGGCCAGGGGCAAAAGTGGGCGGAGCAATGAATGTACATTTTACAGTAGGCCAGTTCCTGCAAACACTCACAGAGCCTTCTCTCTCCTTCATCACCAAAAAGCGTTATCAGAATTCTAGACACATTGTGGGCATGCAAAAGCACTCAAGGAAGATTTGCAGCCAGGCCAGTGCAGGGTGTGACCAGTGAGAGTCCCAAGGGCCGCATTGTGGCCCCTGGTGTGAAGTTTCCCGCCGGTGTGCCAGCCCCAGCCCCTTCCCCGGGGGAAACCGATCCTGCAAAAGGGCCAGTGAAGAGGAAGGAGATAGAGCAGGGGTCAGCAATTCTTTTCAGCAGGGGGCCAGTCCACTGTCCCTCAGACCTTGTGGGGGGCCGGACTATATGGGGGGGGGGAATGAATGAATTCCTAGGCCCCACAAATAACTCAGTGATGCGTTTGAAATAAAAGCACACGTTCTACTAATGTAAAACCATGCTGATTCCTGGACCGTCCGTGGGCCGGATTTAGAAGGCGATTGGGCCGGATCCGGCCCCCGGGCCTTAGTTTGCTTACCCATGCGATAGAGGAACCGATGTGATCTCTGCTTACCCGCCACAGGGCTTTAAAGGCCACGGTGGAGCTCGCACAAACCAATCGTGCATCAAATCAGGAAGCAGAACTCTGAGAAATTTATAAAGTGCCCTGACCACATTGCTCTTCTGACGCCCACGCGCAGTGAGAGAGTCGCAGACTTTGCAAACCTCCGCCTTGGGGTGGCAGGGGTGGCGTGGGGATTCACTGAACAATGGATGCCCAGGAAAGAGCTGCCCTAGACATTTCTACCCGAAACCCCCAAGAGGACTTCGAACTTCTGCTGAGAGTTGGCGGAGGAACCTATGGAGAAGTCTATAAGGTAAGCAACCAAACCGCTGCTCCTTCCTGGAGCGAGTGAGTGGCTGAGGGCATCACACGTTTGGGGCTACGACTTCCACAGCTGCACACTTCTTTGAAGTCTCTCAGCCCCACTCACCTCACAGGGTGTTTGTTATGGGGAAGGAAGGGAAAGGAGAATGTTAGCCGCTTTGAGACTCCTTCGGGTAGGGATAAAGCGGGATATCAAATCCAAACTCCTCCTCCTTCTTCTTCATGCTAATTGACCAGCAAAAACAGGATTCCTCATAATATAACCTTAGCTCTGGCAGGGAAAACCCACCTCTTCCTTTTGCATCAATTAAAATGCTCTATTTTATTCTTGGTTTCGTCCCCTGCCAGGTATATTTTGTAATCTCTCTCTCTGCCACTCTTTGAAACACCCAGCGTTGCCAATCCCTGGAGCTGTTGGAAATAGGAAAAGCATCTTCGGCAACATACTAATTGAACTGGGTTTGAGGACAAAAGAAATAAATATGAAGTAGGGTTCGCCTGTGGAACTCATAGCTGCATGATATTGGAAAAGCTGAGAAGTGGGTTGTCGGCCACATTTTCATCCCGCCATTCCCCTAAAGACCTTGGGGAAACATTGATCACTCCCTCCTTTTATCTTCACAGCAACATTGTGGTGTAGGTTAGCGCAGTCCTATGAATCTTTAGAAGTAACGACAACTGTGCTCACTTCTCTTATGCGTTCCTCCCGGTACATGCACCATTGCTGTCCTAGTGTGTGTCATAGCTGAGTATGAATTCGTGTGTTTTTTTTTGTTTGTTTTTTTAAAGATTTTTATTAAAGTTTTCAAAAAATTACAAAAAGAAAAAGAAAAAATACAAAGTAAAAACAGTTAAAAACAATTCAATCTTTGCGTATCTTATCTTTCATTTGCTTGTTCCCAGACCTCCTCACACCTCCCTTTTTTGTATCCAGTTCAATTAGTTGGTTCAGCAAATCCTTTCCCTCTTTGTTTTTATCCTAATCTTTAATCTTAATATATTATAACTTTAGATTATCACCTGTTAACAATCCATTTTTGCACATCTTTATAACATTACTGCTGAAAACCACTTAACTTCAATCCAACATCATTCTAACATTCATTAATTTTGCAGTATTTCTGTAAATAGTCTTTAAATTTCTTCCAATCTTCTTCCACCAACTCTTCTCCCTGGTCTCGGATTCTGCCGGTCATTTCCGCCAGTTCCATATAGTCCATCACCTTCATCTGCCATGAATTCGTTGCTCTGTTGAGCGCTTCATCCACCACACAATGCTGGTCTCTGTGCCCAACGCACTGCCTGCTTTTTAAAGCCGTGAGACGGGCTGCACTTCACGGGTTCAGCTTTCTGCCTCACTACTATGTTGGGAAAGGCTGCACCAGCCGCATTTCCACCTGCCGTGTTGTACTTAAAGGCACAGGAACCCTGACTGGGAGAGAAAGCGTGTGGCAACAGTCCTTCTGTCTGCCTTGGTAATTCTCTCCATGGAACGTTGTTGTTTAGTCATTTAGTCATGTCCGACTCTTTGTGACCCCCTGGACCAGAGCACGCCAGGCACTCCTGTCTTCCACTGCCTCCTGCAGTTTGGTCAGGCTCATGTTTGTAGCTTCGAGAACACTGTCCCGCCATCTCGTCCTCTGTCGTCCCCTTCTCCTTGTGCCCTCCATCTTTCCCAACATCAGGGTCTTTTCCAGGGAGTCTTCTCTTCTCCTGAAGTGGCCAAAGTAGTGGAGCCTCAGCTTCAGGATCTGTCCTTCCAGGGAGCACTCAGGGCTGATTTCCTTCAGAATGGACATAAGAGAGGTAAATGCAAGGGACATGTATGGGATGGCCACTTCAAGTAAGAGATGGAGGCTCCCTCTCCCCTGACAATGTGAAATCAGAAAAGGGCAGGCAAAATGTTCAATGTGGTAGAGGCTAAGCAAATCAGTCTCTTAAGCTTAAGCCAAGAAAAAGTATTCTCTATAAGATTGAATATCAATATACGTATCAAGACTTTGAGATTAGACCACTGAAGAAGCCCGAAAAACTATCTGGGGAGTGGGCTACCTGCAGGCCCCAGTAAAAGGGCCTCATCGGGGCAAACAGCGGCCTCTTGATCATAGCTGTCAACGTTTCCCTTTTTTTAAGGGAAATTCCCTTATTCCGAATAGGATTCCTCGCAAGAAAAGGGAAAAGCTGACAGCTATGCTCTTGAGTACTTGGACTGCCAGGGCGGAACAGGTGCAAAATGCTGGCACCCTGTCGTCTACAACTTTATTGTCTACAACTTCATTAACATCTGTCTACAACTCCACTAGCATCTCTCGGTATCGTGAATAACACCAAACTTCCCTTTTGTTGGTATCTTCATGAACTTATCTAAAAGACTGAGTTAAGCATTTGAAAAAACTATTGAAACCAGACATTATAAGTTCATATTAGGTTGGGTAGTTTGCAAGTCTCTGTGGCTTTGTTTATGTTTTTTGTTTTTACTCAGAAGGTTGATAAAGTATGTATAATTATTGTTCTGTGCATATTAATCACCAACGTGTTGCATGAGTTGCACTACCTCTATGAGGAAAGGCTGCCGCATTAGGGACTTTTCAGTGTAGGGGAAAAAAAGACAAGGAGGCGGCGATGCGATAGGAGTGTATAAAATTCGGCGCAGCATGGAAAAAGTGGACAGAGGTACAGTGGTACCTCGGGTTAAGTACTTAATTCGTTCCGGAGGTCTGTACTTAACCGGAAACTGTTCTTAACCTGAAGCACCACTTTAGCTAATGGGGCCTCCTGCTGCTGCCGTGCCGCCGGAGCACGATTTCTGTTCTCATCCTGAAGCAAAGTTCTTAACCTGAAGCACTATTTCTGGGTTAGCGGAGTCTGTGACCTGAAGCGTATGTAACCCAAGGTACCACTGTCGTTTTTTCTCTCCTGTTGTCACACTAGAATTTGTGGATGTTCAGTGAAGCTGAATGTTGTAAGATGGGCCATTGCAATTCTGCAGGCTCCAAATGAAGGACCATCTGGTCCTCTCAAGAGTCCAGATTTGGCCCTTGGGGACTCTAGTTCCTGACCTCTCCTGTTCACCTTTCGCTCCCCATTTCCAGCTCAAGGCTCAGCCTTAGAAGCTCCTTGCAGTGGTTGGAAAACATGATGGGTACATTTATTTCTTGGGCCATAAGCCGCCATGACGGGACGCGGGTGGCGCTGTGGGTTAAACCACAGAGCCTAGGACTTGCTGATCAGAAGATCGGAGGTTCGAATCCCCGCGACGGGGTGAGCTCTCGTTGCTCGGTCCCAGCTCCTGCCAACCTAGCAGTTCGAAAGCACGTCAGAGTGCAAGTAGATAAATAGGTACCGCTCCGGCGGGAAGGTAAACGGTGTTTCCGTGCGCTGCTCTGGTTCTCCAGAAGCGGCTTGGTCATGCTGGCCACATGACCCGGAAGCTGTACACCGGCTCCCTCGGCCAGTAAAGCGAGATGAGCGCCGCAACCCCAGAGTTGGCCACAACTGGACCTAATGGTCAGGGGTCCCTTGACCTTTTAAGCTGCCATGACAAGTATCAATGCAGAATAAGCACCTGGGACGCTTCTATAATTATCTATTTCTATTGCCAGCAAATGGAAATTGAATTTTGTTTGGCTTTGACTGCAATAGACTGTTCAAGATAGCTCACAACTTATCTCCTTGTAAGCATCATGTTCACAGACACAAAATGTGAAAATGAACAGTGTTAGCAGAAGAACAAAGTATTGCTGTTGAAGAGAATGCTTTGGAACACATACTTTCCCTGCCCTGTCCTGACACATGTTTCCCCTTCGCATCTGGTTTTAGTGGGTTGTTATTGTTGTTATTTTTAAATTATCTGCATTCATATATTTGTCCCAAGTTGGGATTCAAGGAGGCTTAGAGCACTTAAAGACAACATCATAAAATCCAGAGTAATAGAAACAAAGTAGTTAAAACATTAATTGAGATTCTGCAGAACACATTTAGTACCAGCAATTAAAATCCAATTTGCCTTGATAGGGACCCAGTGATCAGCACAATCTGCACCTTAGTTTCCAAAGGTCTATCGGAGCATGAAGGCCTCAGCCTGTTGGGGGAAGGGTAACAAAGAGGGAACCAATCTAAACTCTCTTGGGAGGGAATTTCATAGTATGGGAGCCACCACAGAAAAGGCTCTCTCTTGTGTCACCACGAACCACGCTTTTGGTGTTGATGGGAGGCAAAGAAGGTGCTCAGCCCAGGATCTTAGCATGCGGGCAGGTTTGTATAGGGAGATACGATATTCCAGGTAGCCTGGGCCCAATCCCCATCTAAGCCCCACCATCCACTCCTTCTTAAAAGGAGCTTGCCTGCCTTCTGATACTACTGGTCTGAGAAGAATTACCATATTTTTCGCTCTATAAGATGCACCAGACCACAAGACGCACCTAGTTTTGGGAGGAGGAAAACAAGAAAAAAAATATTCTGAATCCCAGAAGCCAGGACAGCAAGAGGGATCGCTGTGCAGTGAAAGCAGCAACCCCTCTTGCTGTTCTGGCTTCTGGGATAGCTGCGCAGCCTGCATTCGCTCCATAAGATGCACACACATTTCCCCTTACTTTTTAGGAGGGGAAAAGTGAGTCTTATAGAGCAAAAAATACGGTATAATGGGGAGTGAATGACTGGGGTGTGTTCGTACGTGGAACACACGAACACATAGCTTTTCTGTGGCATCTACAAAAGCTGTTATTCCTGGGAGGTGTTCCCAGGGAATGCTCAGAATGGCAGCAAGTTCTGCAAATTGTACAGGCATAGGGGAGAAATTGGTTTCGGATCACATTTCCTGGTTCAGTTCCCGAAACAATATGCAAACTGAAACTCGGCTATCCTTCAGAATTTGCATTTTACAAAAATGTTCACGCACCAGGGGAAAGTGTGACAAGAATTGGAGACATTGGTGAAAACAACATAGGAAAAGACATTGGTTGGGGGGGACAAACTGGTGGCAACAATAAA